GGAGTCCCAGGATCGAGTCCCGCATCGGGCTCCCTGCTCGGCGGGGAGCCTGCTTCTCCCTCTGACCCTCCCCCACTCATGTACTCTCTCTCATTCTCGCTCTCTCAAATAAATAAATAAATCTTTAAAAAAATAAAAAATAAATAAAAAAAATAAAATAAAATAACTATTGCTTGTGGACCCAGAAGACATGTAAATTTGCAATATCCATCAGTCACTCCATCAAAATCATAAAGTCCTTCCTATCCCTCTTACAAATCTCAAAGCAACATCACAGCAGGGATGTAATCAGCCATAACAGTTATATTTACAATATGCAATTTAACCGCAATGACACACATAGGAATTTCTTTCTTTATCACAAAGTTGTTTTCCTGAGACATTTGTGTCTTCCTATCAACATGAAAAATGGCATCCAAGGGTAAGCATACTGTTAGCAGCACATTTCAATGGAAAAGATAATCTACCCCAAATTCTGTCAATTTCCATCAAAGGACATGATCTGGAAGATCTAAAGTTACATAAAATATACTTATTATCACATTTGGTTGTTGAACATGAAGAAGTTCATGTTTAGACGGAATTTCACCCCAAGAGTCAAGGTCAACCTAGGGAAGCACTGAGCTTCCTTGCTCACCAGCCCTTCATAGCTGCATCTCGGGTTGCCGAGGAGCTGGTTCAGCCTGGTTCATCTGCATTGCCTCTCCAGCTGATGTCTGTGTTCATGAATACGCACCATAGAAAAAGTAAAAGGCAAGCAATAAAAGTACCTTACAAAGAAGTTTTTCCTGCCTTCAAATAGTAGCTGAAGCCATTTCTACAGGAATCCAGCGTATTTGCTGTACACAGTTCCAAAAAAAGAGAGAGAGAGAGCGATAAAAATAGTTTGCAATTCAGCAAATCAAATAGAGGGATGCGGATACTATGCATATTAATACTGATACAACTGTCTAAACAATATTCTTGCCTTCCCACATCTTAAATATGAGTGGCGATTAACTGATGATATTGCTGGAATTGCATGTAATCAACCGGTCCTGTATTTGTTGTTGATTATCAAAATTCGTAGTATTTAATAAGTCCTAGATGGTACCTGTAAGAAGACCTTACCTCCTGATCAGTTCTATCATTTGGGTAGACTGCATAACAGTGTTTCTTTAATTAGGTTCTGCTTTAGAATGCCCAGAGCGTGCACACAGCCCAGTGCTATACAAGTGTCCACATTAAACTCAAGCAGCGTTTCTCCAGCAAGATCCTGAAATTCACCCAGGAGCCCTGGGTCTAGTGTCCACGTTACTATTCCCTGGAGACCTCTAATTAAATATCAAACATCTGGAAGAATATAAGGTTAACAACCAGCAAGCACATATGCCTGCGGCAGTCACTTCCCTGAAAATGGATCATTTTGCTCTTAAAAAGCAAATTAAGGTTTCAAGTACACATATTCAGACAGAGTTGGTAGATCAAAACATAATTAACTGAAGCATTGGGTATCCAAAGTGATTTGAAAAGACTGATTCATGTTCTGTCCCATACAAATATTCAGTGACTGAGAATGAGATGAATTCACAGGGATTTCAATGCACAACAAATAACAATTATACAAGAGAAAGAGAAAAAATTTAAAGGCAGTCAAGCAAAGATTGAGCCTACTACACTCAAGTAAAAACTTTGCACTAGAGGGCAGTTTGGAGAGTGAAAACAAGATGATCATTCTTGTTCTCTTTGTGAGGGCAGTGGGCTTCTTGTCGGAAAGTCAGAAAGTGAGGGCTTTTAAAAAGGCATCGTCGCTGTTGGGATGAGACTCCATGTACAAGAGGGATCCCTTACCAGTGCCTAACTCTTAGAGGCCTGCTCTTGAGCTGGGAGAATGTGGATCCAGTGACTGGTAGTCCCCTATGAAGGGGATCAAATAGAACACATTCGTGACTTTGGCAAAAGAATGCATCTGTCAGCATAGATTTGACAGGCCTAAAGCTGTTGACATCCATTTGTTTATCTTTGTTAATTCGTCCGGGCTTCTAGCATAATAAATGCCACGTCTATGGTCTAAAAGAAGTAGTTCGATGGAAATATTTTGTTCCCTTTCTGGTCAATAAGGTCAACTGTATGCATTCGAAAACACCTTCAAAGAAATCATTTCTCTCTCACTCTCTCTCTCTTTTTTACCAAGGTGTAACCTCTGAATACTATTCTTTTCTACACTTTGTTGACAATATATTATCATTTGAGAAAGAACTTTATTGTTCAAACTTTCATCCCAACAGCTTGGTTTATTTCTAGGTATTGGCTTCTATCACAATTAAAATTTATGCCCCTGTAGGCCTCTGCCTCTTACACAACGAGGAAATGTGTCCATTCCATACATGAAAAGATATACAAAATAATAGTGCAAGTTCAAATTCAGTTGGGCTAGGAATAAAATTTTACCTGGGTAAATCAACAAAATCATAGCATTTTGATCTTACATGTAAATTTCACATATGAATGGAATTGGTTTGAAAGCTGAAACTGACATTTTTCATTACTGTAATTGCATCTGTTATTTTAAATTACAGTGTATTTGTAATCATTAATTTGGCTTAAAGACAAAGATTCATTGGCAATTTTCACAGGCATTAGTTAAAGGAAATTTGGGTATCCTTTAAGTGTTGAACATACAAATCGTAAAAGTGGTATGGGTTCACATTAGGAGCTTTTCTGTACTACACAAAAGGTTATTATTTTTCAACCCTTGTAAATATATTGAGCTAAATCCTGTTCGATCATACTAAAAATATATCAATGTAAATAAAGATAACAGAACTCAGTGAGAAGTAAATAAAAAGCATAATTTCAGCTTTCATATTACTAGTTATATAGAATTAAAGTGTTCTTTAAGCAGTTAGAAGTGCAGTCTGACTTGGCAATAAGGGCATTTCTGGATATTACACCAATTATAAGCCAGTTGAAGAGATAGTTAGCCCAATAAGAATCTAGAAAACTTTCATCATAAAGTCTCCCTACGTAGGAATGGAACACTATTTGGCATTCTGATTTCTTGTTTTTTTAGGGATGTCTCAATGAATAAAGAAGGGACTTATATTTTATTATATAACTTGTTTTCATTTTAAATTCCCAAACAATAAAAATTTTAAAACGATGTAGGTAATTTTAGTGAGAAGGGACTTAGAACAAGGAATATTGCATCTCTTTCATAGATTCTATGAACTCTTCAAAGTGCTCTAAAAACACTATAAGTTTGATTAGCAGCAAAGCATTAGCCTAATCAAAACCTCTCCTCCCTCCCCCATATATATGTCTATATACACACACACCATACAGCAATATATTCGACTAGTCTAGCTTACATCCGACAATTTGACAGTTACTCCCAGAGGCTGTGCAAAGGTTACAAATACTGTCTACTGTCTTCAGGCCTAGCACCCACTGGTTAAGAGAGAACCAATCCTTTCCTTAAAACAACAACAACAAAATTCAATCACCTATTTTGAATTTCCTTTAAAATTAAAAAAAAAAAATGGGGGAATACAGTGAATTGTCCAATATATTATTACTCTGGGGCCTGTAATTTTCTCAATCTAAAACTATTTTTATACACGGAAGGCTAGATGCCTTTAAACATAGTTTCTGCAATCCTAAATATAAAACATTCTGTTGAAAAATACGACTTTTTTTGTTTGTTTTTTTGTTGTTGTTTCTTTTTTAACTTGGAGGAAAGTTCTGTGAGGTGCAAATTTTCTCCCCACAGATGAATTTTGCAGCTTTCTTCTCCCAGAAGCACACCGAGAGCCCTGTCATCCTGTGTCTACCACATCCAGGGAACAGAGCCTTCCCACGCTGCCGTGGCCACAGAACCTAGCACAGGACCTCCAGAGAGAGGCCCTGGAGGGGCCAAGGCATCTTGGTCTTTTCTTTTCCACACCCTTCCAGCAGCTCCCAATCCTTGGGCATCTGGTGGAGCTGAAGTCCAGAACTTGAACTTCACTAGGAAAACAAAGTCTGTTCAAAATGCAGGGTTTTCATCTTTTGGTTGGGTGATTCTTGGTCCCCCACGGATAGGAGTGATATCTAGAAGATTCAGAAGTGGGAAGAGTTCTCTATAGTCACATATATTTGACTTCACACATTCAACTTCAAAGCAGTAGCTCAGGGATATATGTAAATAAATCCCAGTGAAGAAAAGATGATTCTAAACATAATAGGATGGGACATTTTTAGAAAGCCACATTTTGCTAACATTTGCCACAGTGGTGCTAACAGGGTCTTTCTCAAATTATAAACTCCACTGGAAATGATAACTCTTTATAGAAGAAAAATAAACACCCATTCAAAGTAGCTTGTAGTTTTAAACATCTAATTTACATGTTATCAGTTAATTGGGGGAAAAAGCAATGCCAACTGTAGATTTCTTTTTTCTCTTGCAAATTTTACTTCTCAACGCAGATTTCATTGTTAAAAATGTTAATGTGTACCCCTAAGTATATAAGGAGGATATGCCTGACGTCTATTCACCCACAGGATTCAGTTTGACTCTCACAAACAACAATGATAAAATTAAGGCATGCTAGGCTGTCTCCTTCTGGTAAGGAAGCTAAATGTTTATGAGTGTAAAATATAATTTAATCATACATTCCTGCAAACGATCAAGAATAGAGCGTGCTTTGGGCTGGCCAAGTCTGTTTTGAACTTGTTTCATTGTCTTTACACTACTTTCTTCCTCTCAACTCATTCTACCTCCCCTTCCCGGAAGCCCAGAAATGAGGGATCCCCCATTTTGCTTAGGGCTCCTTGCTGCTATTTCTGTTTCTGTTACTATTTCCTTTTCTTAATGCAGCATTTTGTGCCCAAGATGATCTTCCTAACCAACAGTCCAAGCAGTCTCCCCATTATTTAAACAGTTGCAGGAACTGTCCCTGAAGATAGCTAATGGATAATAGCTTTATCCCGAGACTTTCAGTTTGATGATGGCATCTCTCTATCACTAACAAAATATTCACTCTGGGACCTAAGCTAAAAATGTGTCATGTCTTGCCTTCATGCTTTGGCTGCTGTCTGGGTGTTTGGTAGATGCATGTAAATTTGAACTGACTGTCTGAAGTGGTGAACTTCAGTAATACAGAAATTATGTATGCAATTCTCTGTGTGACCAACATCACTAACATTTTGCGATGACGATGACAATGACAATAAAGATGATGACAAAGACAATAAGAACAACAGCAGATCTGGGCAGATGCTGGTGGCTGGTGGGGGAGTTAAAACTATGTTTCCCATTTCTAACCACAGTCCTAGGGCAGCTTTCTGAATTTGTGTTGCATGTGAAAGATTGAAGAAATACTGGGGTAAACAAGGTTAACAGATTTCTTACAGCACATCTCAGACTCTGTAATATGGTAATGTGTGTCAACATCCTCTAAAAATGGAAAACTGTACTTTCAGAGTTTCCCAAATATATTTGATCACAAAGTTTTATTTTTCAGGGGAACATCTATTAGCATCTTTGATAATATTGGCTATTCTATGGAACCTATTAGGAAAAATACATTCTACTCATTCTAAATCCTTGTTCATGTCCAGTGATATTTAGCATCCTCTATCTTTTTGACTACGGAAAAATCATCACTGACTAGCTGATTTGATTCATATTTGAAATTATGTGTATTTCCAGCTTGTGAACTCTTAGGTGCTTCTAAGTGGAGGCTGACTTATTTCTTGGTAATTAATTTGGAACACCAGTAAACAACTACTTTAAGCACAACCAAGGGTTATTTTTACTAGTAAACTGTGGAGATTCTTCTCTCAAGATAGTCTATCATTGTTACAAGAAGATGAAAAGGGAATATCATGGATATAAGAATTTTTTTGTGAGTGATTCATTTTAATTTGGAGCATTTTAAGAAAATTTTATGTATGTCATATCCAAAGTATTTTTCTTCAACTTGATCATTTAAATCATGTCTCCATATTCTATTCACAATTCTGAATATACCTATAAATAACTTTTTGTCCTCATTATTAGGCATCTTATTATCTATTCGTTAGAATAAGAAAATTTGCAATGTCTTTTAATATAAAGTGCAGCTTTGGAAGTAGAAATAATGTTTGAATTTTTTAAAACTTAGGAATAGAACTGAAAAGGGATAAAAGTAAATTTAAAAATAAGACTAAAATTATTTTTTAAGGAAAAATAAGAGCTCTTGTAAGAGCTTCCCTCACTTCCTTACACACCTGGTTTTTCACTGATATTTACTGTAGTTTCTGCAAAAATATGAAGCCATTCATTGCCCACGATCCTGAGTCTCTGAAAATATGTAGATAAATTATGACAAAAGTGACCTTTGTCCCCACTCCAAGCCAAAGGCACTTGAAATAATAGGGAGCTAAGAGTCAAGAAGACACTCATCCTATCCATGGAAAGCTGGATGTACTCAGCCCAAGAATAGAAAATGAAAATTCAAAGTCTCTCCAGGGAAGGTGGGAGGAGAGCGATTATGAAGACGGTGATTTCTATTAATAATATACCTTTGGAAAATGAGAATTATTCATCATTTCTCTGTAGTTATAAATCACAACAGAACTAAATCTACAAAGGTAGTATTTTGGAAATATATTATCCAGCCAAAAGAGCAAGCAGTTGAATAATCTTATGTGTGATCCATACGAACAACTTGTTGAAATAAGAGAAGTAAAAAAAAAAAAAAGTTGGAGACTGAACTAACCTCAAAAAAGAATCTAATTTCCATATAATAACCTAACAGGATGCTCTTGAGGCCTCTTTCTCTTACCATGGCTAATACCTTTGGAGACACCCTCTGGGATGACTGAAATAGCAGTCACAAGATAGCTTCAGCAGCGGGAAAGGAAAGCAGTTCCTCCAGGCATTAAAGGCCACTTTGAGAGAACAAACTAAAGCAAAGTGGAGCCACACAGAATGTGGATGTGGCTGCTTATGACCAGTTTGATGATTCAGTTATGAGGGGCCCCTCAGAAAAGTCAAGAGACAACTTGTGTGTAGACACTGTCTGTGCCCACATCCCCTCATCCACATGCCTTCACAGGCTGCTGGCCTGCTTTCCAGCCACCAGCACCTGCATTTCTCTCCCTGAGGATTTCTCTGGCCTCTGGAATCTGTTCTGCCCACCCTTACAGAAGGCCAGAAATGCGGGGGAAAGGCCGCAAGCAATGACCCACGGAAACGGGAGGACAAATACCCCAGCTCTCTCAGCCCTTGAGTGGGATACCTCAGCTACGTGTTCTGTACTGGCTCTCAGATTTCCCCAATGGGGTCTAGCCCCAGTCAGCCACAATGGTTACTTGCTTGAAAATGAAACCTTTATTGAATTATTTCTTCACTCTCCTACGAGTGTTTCCCAGAATTGCCTCTCAAGTAAACTAACTGTACTCAGATCTTTGTGGCCAACACTGTGCCCAACGGTAAAACACAGCAATCAGAACTGGACAGAAGTGATAAAACACTATATTTTTAGAGCACAAATAGTTCTTATGTAACCCCAGTAAGCTGAGGTTCCTTACTTAGGGTAAGCAAATAGCAATACATAACAACAAATCCTTTCCCATGAACATATCTTAAATTCACCAGAAGCGATTCTTTGTTTAGGTGCATTTCCCCCTGCATTCTATACAAATAATGGGTAGATTTCAGTGATGGAAATTTGAGTTTACAGCTCTACTAGAAGGGAACAAATGCTTAATTAAAAAAAAAAACAAAAACCACAACCCTAGAAATGCTTTTCAATTTCATTATGTTTCTTATTTTTTCTGGGAGTAAATTACCACTAAGCTATCGCCCTTTCTTTTTCAACAGAGAACCAGCAGCTGCATCCACACAAAAGATAGGCAACACACATTCTACCCATGGTTGTATCTAGTCTAAGCCAAGATATTTTACAAAAGTATTTAAAATAAAAGTAGGAAAAAAAAATCTCTGGAATCCAGGATAATCGGATCTAACATCCAATGATCTCAATTGACCTTTCACATTTAAAAGAAAACCCTAGATCTCACCTGTTAGATGTAAAGTTGTAATAACCACTTTCCTCTAGGACTTCTTCAATCACAGTCTGAAGTAGAAAAAAAAAGAAATTCAGGTTAATACTGAATTAAAAGCAACAAAATAAAATTGTTCAAGGCATTGCAAAAACCTCACCTGCATCTGCTCATATGTTATTCCCTCCTCCAAATCAGAGCTGGTATGTAAACCTGAAATAGATAGGTTATGGCAAGTGTGACCTTTGGTTCACATTTTCTTAGTGGGACTTTGTTGACAATTACAACTCAGCGGTAGTGAAAACAGGGTCAATTGAGTCATGATGAAGAGGAGTACTTCTAAGCACATTCCAAATGATCTTGCTTTGAATATTCAAACTCTGTTTGTCTTCCTTTAATAACTGGCTGCTTTTGGGGTGGCCATCACAAAATAATACACAAAGATTTTGGGGCATTTCTCAGGGTATAAATTGGGCAATTAAGTTAGAGAGGCATGTGTGAGCACGCACACATGTGCGCCCATGTCTGTGAACACTAAGGACAGGTGAGGAGTATTCCCAGCACAAATGACCTGATGTTTTCTGATTAAAACACTCTCCTTAAGCTACAAGCAAAACCAGTAAATATGTGCTAGAAAGAAAATGAACTCTTAGAGGGAGGCAGAAATAGACAGGGAAAGACAATGAAGACCTGGTCCTTTCATGTGACTGCTAGAGGGAAATAAAGTGCACTTAGTGCCAGGAGGCAATACTTTCTTGGATGGGTGTTTGAAGGATGATAGACTAGCACCTCACCCAACCAAGTGCCGCCCAAAGCAATGTTGGCCAGCTTCCACTGCACTCAATCAACACTGGTGCATGCAGGGAGGCCCAGGAGCCCCCTTCACTTAGGAGAGACAAGAGGGAATGGGTTGAAGTGGAGGGGAGGCATGAGACTGATGAGTCCTGGCAGCTCCTCTTCAAAGCTCTGGGCCAAGGTGTTCCCCAAAGTGCCTGCAGACTCTGCCGTGTGAGCCTGTGGCCAGCCTGCTGGGATGGGACTTGCCTGCTTCACCCCAGGATGCCCTGGATGTCTGTCTGCTCCCTCTCAGGCCGCTCTGAGATTTCCACCAGAGCTCTTGGTTTCATCAGAATCGCTACTGTAAGAAGTCTGGCCTACAGACTGACTGACCAGCCCTGGGGGTGCTTTTCAAAGCAAAACACTTTAGACTTAGATGGCAGTTCATCTTGATCTTATGGGTTTCTCAGAGACTATTTTAAAAGTAATTCTGCCTACAGGTTGGCTTTATCCCAGGAGTCCAAGACATAGGGAAAGGTTGAGAATTAATACATTTAATGATTTACCTAAACTGAGTGAGGGGATGGCGAGTCTCCCTTTAACCATCATTTCTATCCATGCCACTGAGTGATGTAACTATAGTTTATAGGGATTTGAAAATTATTTAGGATCTCTGAAACCTCACAGTAGCTTGAAAACCTCTTCTGAGAGTTCAGTTATCATGAGAAGAGTTACAATATGCGGAACCCCTACTAATGGTCAAGCACTTTTTGTATGTTTACACTGATCCTCATTATAACCCTATGGAGCAAGTGCCACGTTTACCCCCATTTTATAGGCAAGGAAACTGGGGTTCAAGAGGTCAAATAATCTGCCCAAGGTCAACTACTAAATGCTGGAGCTGAGATTCAAGTTTAGGCATCCAGGTTTTGTGAATCTGCACCTTTAATCCCTATGCTACATAGCCTCCCTACGTGAGATTTAAGCAAAAAAGAAAAACAAATTAAATATGTCTGATGTGGATTCTTCAGGTAAGTTTCAAATGTTCTCCATTTTCAATATTCAAACTCTTCATTTCTGCTTTTTATCTCCCTGGATGCTTTGGAGCATTTGATTTCCCATCATCAGATAAGAAGAAATAAAAGGAAATATAATTCACCCACACAGAGTCTGCTGTTTGTTTATGGCATTAATAAATGATCAAAGAAGCTGCCACAACAGGGTACGATGAATTTCGTAGGGAATTTCTATATTCGTACTGTATATCCCTTCCAACTATTGCCATAGATAATCAAAATAAGCTCTATTTTTCTTTTAAATTGAAGATAATCTTTTAAGGATAGCTGTTGATCCAAACAATATATTTCTTTGTGAAAGCCAGACTTTCTGTGGTGAAGACCATTACCTGTCGGGTCATCTGGGGACAGGCTGTTTCCAGCTGATAAATGACGTAATGAATGGTAATCTGCTGTGAAAAAGTTGGGCTCAATCGGTTCTGGGGATCCCTGAGATAACTGGAACAGAAAAGGCAAAGCCACATGTTATTCTATAGTCAGAAGCAAATGACAGGAGACCTCTTTCCCTCTGTCTCGGCATGGAGAATTTAGTCCTTGTGGTTTTCAATCTCTTGTAAATAGGAAAGGCACATCTTCTTTTCAAAAGAACTTCTAAATTGGAGGCAGGCAAATTATAGTGAAAGCAAGGTAGACAATTCCCTGGTCACACGAAAAAACAAAAACAACTCTGCACTTTATGGCTTTATGAGAGCAAGATAAAAATGGATAGAAAAATAACAGCATAGGCTTGGGACATCAAAATGTTCTTTGTATCAGGCATATGAGGAATAAACCTAATTATTCAACAGAACAATATGCTTAGCCCACATCATCATTGTTTTTTGTGTATCTCCTTTAAACAATGCCTTCTTGTTTGACCAAGGCAAACAAGTTTCTTAATATATTTTTCTAAATTACTGTTCTTAATTTTAATCTCCAAACATTAATCCCCAACACTCTAAAGGAGAGAGTAATTCACTAAATGAAAGACTATTAAGGTTCCAACTGTTTGATGCTCTCCCACAAAGCTGAATTTTTTAAGTGGAATTTTAGGCTATAAGCATTTTTCAACCTTTTTTTACCTGTAATTCCAACCAGCACTTGGGCTGGTCAAGTTTTCATGCCTATGTTAATATAACATAGTTCTAAAGTGCCAATTCTTATTAATAAACCAAAAACAAATGGCACAGTTTTGACTATGCACTGGCAGTTACCTTGGATTCACATACTCTGCTCATGAATTAAAATACACCATTGTTCAATCACTTGAGAAAACTGGCAGTATTCATTAAGATTCAACAACATATGTCTACCGTATGACCTTGTAATCCCACTCTAAGGTATACACACAAGAGAAATGAGGACTTCTGACCCCAAACTGGAGAAAACCCAAATGTCTACAGACAGAAGAATAGATAGATTGTGGTGTGCTTATCCAATGGGATTCTGCAAAGCACAAAAAACAGCAACATGAATGAATGAATGTTGAGCAAAAGAAGCCAAAAACACCAAAGAAGATGCAACATATACCTTCACATATAGGCACTTTCACAAGCAGACAAAACTAACCAATGGCGATGAAGATTAAGATAATGATTATGTTGTGGCAGGGGGTGGAATCTGACTAGGAAAAGGCAGACAGGAGCCTTCTTCAGTACTGGAAATGTTCTACCTAGTGATGTGGGTGGTGGTCACCCAGGGGAATATGTACATAGAAGTCCACGGAGCTGTACAGGGACCTCACTGGATGCATTCTGCATTTTATACCTTAATAAGAACATTTTCTATAAGCAATTGATCATTATTCCATCTGTGTACTTTGGACACTACTAATACAAATTATTTCTGTGTTTTCCAGTCTCCATGTTGCCTACGAAAACTACACTCTAGGAAAAAACTATGGTTCCATCCTTTTTTGTTCTTGAAAATTTATTTTCCTTACTTCAATGACAACTGATAAAACCAATATCCCATCTGTAAAATGACAAGATCGTAAGATGGCAACACATTGCAGTGCAGGAGGATCTGATAGTCACACGCCTTAATAACATTCTCATCAGTGCTATTAGGATGCCACAGAGGTAGGCCTAAGCACTCTGTATTCCTCACAGCCAAGCTAGTAGGTTGCTCCAACTAGGTTTCTTAATATGTCTTGTAATGCTGAAAATGATTTCCTGGCATTGCCTTCCAAATGACTTCAGATGGGATTGTTTTTCATGTGGTTGAGCAGAGGAGTAATTTGGCTGCCTGAAATGCTCCTCCTAATTATAGAAAGCTTAGTTAAGTCAACTTAATTATTAAGTAAACACCTTGGAATCCTAACTCGTTCACAGACAGGAAGGTGTTTAAAGCTGTACAGTGAAGCGTGTGAATTGTGAGCTAGAGAGGTCAAGATAGCCATTTTACGAAGACAAGGACAAGTCGTCATTGATTCACACCTCGAAGAGAAGAGTGGTTGAGGATGCCAGTGCTTCTTACATTACAGTCTCCTTCAGCCTAAGAACTGCAAATCCTCGGAGGGATGGGCGCATGGATGAAGGCAAGGACTAAAATTCATTGGTCTTGTGTTTGAATCCCAGATACATTTATTTTTATTCCAGAAACTTCTCAGAACTTCTTCTTGCAGTTCCATTTTTTGACATACATATTCTTTCAGCACATCTTTTTTGCCCCTTAGCCTGTGTCATGCTCTGAGCAGGTTTTGCAAAACAGATGAAAACTACTGAATCACATATACCAATGATCTATCCAGCTTATCAGCAGCATGCTGGGCACCAGGGAGGACACAGCAATGATGTGGCTTGCTATTTGCCTGGGAAAATAGGCTAATGTGCATGAACAAGAGGGAGAATAAACACTGAAGTGTAAAATGAGGTGGGGAGTTCTAAGCTTCCAAAAATAAGCATGCTTCATGAAGACTAGCATGATTTTCAGAAGCTCTGTAGCAGAAACACTGGAGCTGAGCCTTGAAGGGTGGATTTGGGTGGATACAAGGAAGCGAAAGAGACATTGCAGGTGAGTGGAACTTGGGGGCAAAGCCCGGGCACTGCCTACCAGTAGCAAGGTGATGAAAGGGATATGATATAAGTCCATGTTATAGAGGTGTGGGGATCTAGATTGAGAGGAAGACAAATGCTGTTCATTAATTCAGCTGGGATTTTTTTATCAACCTTTGTGTGCCACACACAGATCTAAACAATGAAAACAACCAATGGTGGCCAAAAATTGTACTCTTGGAGCTTACTGCCTAATTAAGGAGGAATATAGCTGTGAAATATCAACCTGAATATATGTGAAATTGCAACTGTGCTGAATGCATTGAAGGATGGGCCTGTGGTTCTAGGAGGTAACGGGCAGGTTTAACTTAGACAGGAACGGCTTTCCTGAAAAAATGACACTTAATGCTGAGAGAATGAGTCAAGGATGGAGAGGGAAGATCTTGAAAAGCAGGAACACAAGCATTTGCAAAGACTCAGGAGGAGGCTGCATGGTGGACCGACGGTACCTGTGGCTAGTATGAGACCACAAAGAACAAGAGAGGTATGAGAGGTGGGCCGGGCTTGGACCAAAAGGGACTGGGAATACTGTGGGGACGATATGGCAGTTTATACTTCAAGCCCCTGAACAGCTTTCTATGTGTCTGTGTGGGTGCGTGTGTGACACAGTCAGATTCCCGTTTTGAAAGATCACTCCGACAACAGTCTGCATGGGGCTGGGGATGTCAGGGTGGATGCAGACCAGAGGAGGCTCCTGTGAATAATGCGGGCCTAGAAAGCTGGATGTCAGGGTTTAAACTGTGAGGCAGGAAACTGGAGGCTTCTAAGGTTTTTTGGTATGCTAAAGAAAAAAAAAAAAAAAGCCGGTGTTTAGAAACTCGGTCCGGCAAGATGGATTGGAGAATTGGAGAACAGGGAGGTCAGCAAAGCAGCTATGACACTAACCTCAGAGAGAAGTTCTAAGACCTTGGACTAGGTGGTAGCCAAGAGGAAGATCGAGTACCCTCCCCTAATAACACCAGGAGCTCCTACAGCCACGTATTGAGTACTTAAACATTCTAGACACATTGGATGTTCTGTTTGGTTCCTATAACTACCTCTAAGGTAAGCATTATCTCAGGTTTACAGATGGGGACACTGAAAAGGGATTTGCTCAAGGATCATAGCTAGTAAGTGGCAGAACCAGGGCTGTAACCCAGGGCTGTAACATCAAAGGGCAAGCAAAACCGCCTACATGAAGAAGATGCGCAGGTGTTAATGACTTATGGGACAAAAGAAATAACGTGGAGCAGCAGAACATGACTGCAAGGTTTAAAGACTGAGCAGACAGAAAACGTGCCTGCCATGATAGTGATGCAGACATAGGAAGGAAGAAGAAGGTGGTGAGTCCAACTCTGGACACACCAGATAGGCAAGAAAAGGCTCAGCCCGTAGGGGGAATATGGATGCTACCACAGAACGGTTCAGAGCAGCAATCCCTGTGGTGGGCCAGTGCCTTGTGGGCCCTCTCCTGCCTCGCAAACATTCAGCTTAGAGGGGTACTCCCATCTTTGGCATATATGTTCTCTTTGGAAGAATGCTTAAGACCCTCCTTCTGAACTGACATCAAAGGGCTCCCCTGCTCTGAATAAACATCTACAGTTCTAAAGAGCAAATGACCGTACACACTTTTGAACTAAAGCCAAGCAAATATTAAAGAGAACAGACTGCATCACTGCTACTACCCCTCTCCCCCAAAACTCACTGATTTTGAGCAAGTATTGAGCAATCTTAGCACTTCATCGTCAACTGAGAATCTAGTACTTTTTAGGCCAAACCTAATGGAGAAATAAAAACTGTAATCTTCATTAAATTCCCCAAACTGTATCTTCTCTTCCATGTCATAAAATAAGGCTATCTTTGCTGCAGAACAACTACACCAATTGTTTGCAATCTAATCAGTTGAGGTAGAAAAGAAATGAAACAGCGTAAATGAAATTAGGTGCCAGAAGTGAGAAAATTTTTAATGTGCCACATCACACGCCACTCACCAGTCCTCTGATATTTTTTCCTTTAGATTTTCCTGTCCTGTTCGACTGAGTTCTAACACATTAAGACATAATATATTGTCTTATTTTTCATCTTTTCTAACCTCGAGCTCCTTTCTTTTTTATTAGGTTTTTATAGGCCACTTTGTTAACAGACATGTCCAGTATTTATACTCACTTTTCTCCGATACATAAGCACCCACACACGTATGCATGGGCACCTTCACAGGGATGGTCCATCATCCGTGTCCATGTGATGCACATCGCATCCCCACTTTCACCCCTACTTCCCCCAGAAGCAGCCTTGCTGCTGAGCCGTTTACATTTCCACCAAAGACCGTCTTTCTAACAAAGAATTCCAAAACTCAGTATCGGCTGGAAAACCACTGTTGTATGCTATTTACAACCACAAGCTCATCCTCCCAGGACCTCCGTT